GCAGAAAACGCCGGTGATCTCCACCCGCTACCCCTTTTCTCACCCCACGCCCCCCAGCAGACCTCCTCGAATGTCTCAGTTGTGCTCCGAAAGCCTCAGTCTTCAGCATTTCGAGGTTTCCGCACCCCTGGCCTGCTAACCCCCAGCCATCTCCATGGGACGCTGGATTGGGGCCAGACCCACAAGTCCACTGCCCGCCCCCTGACAACGCCGGTGATCTCCACCCGCTACCCCTTTTCTCACCCCACGCCCCCCAGCAGACCTCCTCGAATGTCTCAGTTGTGCTCCGAAAGCCTCAGTCTTCAGCATTTCGAGGTTTCCGCACCCCTGGCCTGCTAACCCCCAGCCATCTCCATGGGACGCTGGATTGGGGCCAGACCCACAAGTCCACTGCCCGCCCCCTGACCCACAACTTTCCCAGTGTGCGACCTTGAAAAACCGGCTGGGTAAAGGAAAGGAAGGGAAACAGCAGCCTGGATGAAAAGACTATGTAATAATCATCCTAGAACTGCAGAGCAGGAAGGGACCCTATGGATCATCAAGTCCAGCCCCTGTCAAGGAGGCACAGTGGGGAATCGAACCCCCAGCCTCTGGCTCCGCAGCCAGATCTCTAAACCACTGAGCTCTGCTGTAGCCGCCTAGAGTGGTCCATTGGGGTACAAATCAAATCAAATAAATAAATAAATAAATAAATAGTTCTTTTATCGCGTATTGTCTTTTCAGTTCTAGTTTCATCTTCCCTTCCTGGTCTTGATTTTGACCCGGCTACCTTGCCAGGGCCTCCCCCACCCCACCCCAAACAGAAAGTGCTGCGCACTTTAAAAAATTTTTGGGGAGATCAGATAACACTCGATCCTCCCTGGGGAACCCTTCGGAACCCCTTCCTTTTCTGGAGTTCTCCTGCGCGTGGCGTCTTATCTGTGGCCTTAACTTTATGAGTTGTTTGAAATCACATTGCTGGTACCCATAGAAATGAAATGGACAAATTACCTAGTCAATTACAACCTAGGCGAGGTTGAAGGCAGAGGTGGTGGGTGTCCTTGCTGATCAGGCAAATCCTGGGTGGCAAAAATTACAGTCCAGGGAACGTCATCATAAAAGTCGGATATACTCAGAAGTAAAATCCGCTAGTTTCAATGGAACTTTCTCCCTCTATGATTGTGTTTTCTAAGACTGAAAGTTTAGGAAAAAGACGAGAAAAAAAATGGCTCATTAACAATTTAGGGCCCTTAAAAAGAAGCACTGGGTAGATGCCTTCCGATCGTAGGATCGGATTGGAATTAGGGGAGGGGGGGACTCAGATGGGATTCACTTTAGCCGCAGTCCGCCCCTGCCTTTATCATTGTCAAACTGGTTGGTTCCCGTTTGCCCGCGGTCATTCTTGGGCTTTTTAATTCGGTTTTTTTTCCTTTTAAACGATTTGTAGTCTCCCACGCACCCACCCCAATACTTCGGCGTCTTGTCCTCAACCGATTTATTATCAGAGACATTTTGCTGCGCAGGGAGACGGATGGTTTCCTTCTAACTTAACATTCCTCTGGGTTAAAAGATGAGTGGCCGTCAATTCTCCAGCGCGGGGAGGGGGAAAAGTTTTAATAATCATTAGATACTCTACGCGGAGACTTTCGAGATGCTCATTATGTTGGGTGGTCGAGACGACAGCGCTGAACCCCTTCCATCCTGTCGCCTTCTTAGGCCAACGGCTGGAGTTGAAATTCTATGCAGAACTACACAGGAGAAAACGCAACTGAATGAGTTAGGCTTACTCTTAAGTAGACCGGGTTGTGGCTATTCTTTATGAATGCTGCTGCTTGGTTTTGCTTTGCTTTGTTTTGATTTTATTTATTTTAATTTTTTGGGAAATGATGGAGCTGCTGATTTTTCTTTTTAAAGGCTTGATTTTTTGTTGTTGTTAAATTATCAGCATGTGTGTTGGAACGAATGGAGACAAACTCATTCGTTATTTGCCTGGCTTTATTTATTTATACGATTTTATTTTATCAGAACATTTATTTGTCCCGTGCTTCGTATACCGTACATTAAAGGAACGATTGATATCTTTATTTACATGTTTTCCTTTTAAAAGCCTTTTAAAAATGTTATTTTTTGATGTGGAATATACAATGACCCATTAAGCTAACAATAACATTGTTACTTTCCTCTCCCCCCCCTTACTTTGCATAACTTTCCACAGCAAAACAAAGGGGAGGGGAGAGAGTGGAAGAGTCATAATTCGGAGTCGTTCGGATTTCGAAACCTCCTTAAAACCCTAAACACGGTGCGGAGGATCGTGGCCATTTCTTTTAAACGGAACTCCGCCTGCGTGGGTTTCCCCTTTTCAAAATGTCTCTTTCAGCACCGAGCGATTAGATATAAGTCGCCCTAGTAGTCCTAGGCACATTTTCTCGTGAGTAACTCCCATGGAAGTCCGCGGACGGACTTCTGCGTGGACAGAAATAGGCTTCCTCTTTTATCCCTACGCCTTTCGGTTTATTCTTTGTTTGTTTGTTTGTTAGTTTTGCTTCGCTTTTCTTTTTTCCCTTTTAAAATAATAACAAAAAAAACACCCCATCTCTCTCTTCCCCGGTTCTTTCTGCAGACCAAGGCTCGATTCTGCTCGACAAGGACGGCAAAAGGAAGCACACGAGGCCGACGTTTTCCGGCCAGCAGATCTTCGCGCTGGAAAAGACTTTTGAGCAAACGAAATACTTAGCGGGCCCCGAAAGAGCGAGGCTCGCCTACTCGTTGGGAATGACGGAGAGCCAAGTCAAGGTGAGACGCCTGCCCGATCCGATCGCCTTCCTGCGGCCCGCGGGCCGCTCGCTCCGCCTGGGGGGGCCCGGAAGCCTTCGGAGCGGCTGATAGGGGAGAGAAGGGGCGAACCAAAGAGGGGCCGGGCGTGTGCCCTTCCGCTCCCTGATGCCTGGCGAGGAGCGCGCAAGCTCCGCGCTGTATCCGCGCCCAGCGGCCCTCCCGCAGGATTTCTTGTTTGCGCAGATTTTGAGAGCCCGAAGAACTGCAGTTCTTTACCATGACTGGTACCTTTGGAGAACCATTATTGACATCTGGGAATAGGACCTAATGAATTGGATGACGATATTCCATTTAAAAATATTTATAACTAAGTCCAGTAGGTAGAGGGCTTTCAGCTTGTAATTCACCTATTTTCTAAATAATGTTATACATATCAGTGTAGATATGAATATATAGGCAGGGTGAGACAGGAGGGAAAAAGACAGAGGTATTTTGATAAGGATGATGCATATATTATTATTCTTGTTTGCTAGACAGACTGGAGCGCAGTTTTTATTTCATCTATATTCAGCCTTCCCGACCTGCAAGTTAGAGAATAAGAAAGAAAGAAAAATTTCCCCTCCCATTATTCTTCTCCCCATCTTAGCCCTCCAGTCAGCTTTTTCCTTGGAAATAAATTCTAAGGAAACTGGGGAAGTTTAATCTAGCCTGTCTAGCAAATAGGGTGTTCAAAGCTCCTGTTACAAAATTTGTAAAGTTATCCAAAGCAAATATTTGTATGCAAATCTATTTTGACATAGTAGGTGAAGATTGTCTCTGAGTCATTTAATATCTGTGTTTAGATTAGCAGCGCTGTTATAGCCTGTTCAAAGACCATTGTTGGGGAGGGGGTTACTTGTGAGTAAACTCCATCTCATTCCCAAATCAAGTGGTTAAGGCTGGGTCTCCAGGTCAGGTCAAAAGAGGCCTCTCTAGAAATAACAACTGGATAATAAGGTCTTCCCAGGGAAGGTGTTAAGCTATGCAAATAATCCAGACTGGTTGGTTAAAGTACTTGAATGCAGAATGATCTTCAAGCCAATTGGGCTGCAGTCCTATGTAGCTTGACTTATCCCACCGAAGCCAGTGGGGCTTACTTTTGAGGAAACCTGCACAGAACTGCACTGTTAGTGTGCGAGTCAGGCCAGTACAGTTACTCCACAGCACAAATGCTTGTGGATCACAGAGATCGGTTTATGCAACATTTGCTAAAGCAAAATGAATTCTGTGATGATCAATTTAAGAGTTTAGAGTTTAAACCAGGGTCACTAAATTCAGTGGGACTTGTGCTATTGATTGCAGTGTAATGTGATTTGCATCTGTTTCATACCTGAAGAGTATAAGCCTGCTATAAAAGAAACAAGAACCTTGTGTCATGTTAAAAGCTAAAAATGTTTTTATAGCATGAGCTTTTCTTCATGTAAGTCTATTATTGCATCTGATCAAATGGACTCCAGTCCACTCAAATTTAAGACACAATAATTGTGTATTTTTAAAGGCCCCACAAGACTTTTCGTTGTATATGATACAAGAACTAACAACAGCTAGTACAGTATTCTTCTGTATATCTGTTGGTGGGTAAACATTTAGTGATACTGCTCCTGGTTCATTCCTTTGGCATTGGAAACAAAAGGAGGTGATTTGAGTCTGAAAGACAGCAGTGTATGTTTATACTACAAATATATCGTATATCAAAAGATCCAGCCACTTTCCTTCAGTCCTATGAATGCTCACTTGGATGTAATTCCTGTTGTAGGTAATGGAGATCATGTCCCAGAAAATCAAGTGGACGATTACAGTCTTGTAGTCTGTATTTCTAAACATAATTCTTTGCAAAGCAGCCCAGTTTTATTCAATATGGATTTACTTGACAAAAATAGTTGCAGGAGTGAACAGTTCTGTCCTTTTCAGTCCCCCAAAGGCAAATGAAGCAGATGCTTGATGTTCTCCCACTGACATCAATAAGACGATCAGAGATGCAATTTTGCACACATTTATTTATTCATCTCATAACAGACAACCCAGAAAACTATACGATGCACAGGCCAAAGTTTGGCTGGCTGGATCATGTTAGACTAACTTCAGCATAAAAGTACAGTACATAAGATTTGCTCAGAAAACCTTTTGCAGCATCCTTACCTTTAATGTATGCCAAGGAGGCAACTGGGCTAAATTCCATTCTTAGTTCCTACTAGAGCAGACCCATGGAAACAATAGAATCTTGCACCAGGATTTATAAAGGTAACATCAGTCTTCTGGGGCTGTTGTACGGTGGGATTTAGCCGAGTGTCTTATGGGTCAGTGGAAGTGCGTGTATATGTATTACTTCCAAAGTAGAACCCCACCAGACAACCTTCCAAACAAATATATTTTAAAATTGATTGTGTGTGTGTGTGTGTGTGTGTGTGTGTGAGTGAGTGAGTGAGTGAGAGAGAGAGAGAGAGAGAGAGAGAGAGAGATTGAGAAGAAAGTAGGAAAGGGCATGTCCTTTGGTCTCTTCCCAAAGTTATCAGGAGACCTTCCTTTATCACCGGAAATATGTGATAAAGGGTGTAAATGAATGAATGCAGCCTTTTATAAAATGAGAAGGAGCTGAACCATTTTTTATTTATTTTTTTATTTTTGGCTGGGCTAGAAATCCTGGTAGTAGTGGTAGGGGTGGATTGCAAATCACATATAGATTCCCCTCGCCCTACAGAAGGGTAGAGAGATGTCTAGACAAAGGGTTAAATTATAGTCATGCTGATTGGGTTGGATCTCAAATCTACTAATGTTTAAAGTAGACCCATTGCCATCCTTGGACTAGTTAGTCTTAACTCCCGTTGACTGCAAGGGCTCTATGCTGATTAAATTTGCATTTAACACCTCCTCTTCCTCCTTCTAATTTCTTTTTCTTCAGTCACTGAACCAGAAAATAAATGAAATGCCTTTCCAGTCTGTAATCCTATACCCATGGGGGAGAGGGTCATTCTCATTCAAGTCAACTACTCAGAGCAATGTTTTTGGAGGAGCCATATAGAGCCTGGCACTGTCAAGTGTTGACTGTCCCATTTATGAACTTATCAAATCCTGAAAAAAAAGCCTTACTTGTGGACATGACTAATTTTAAAGCCAAAAGGAAGGCCTAAGTAACTTTTTCTGGGTCAAACATGTTTATAATCTTTGGGAAAATATGTGCCCCATTGCCTTCAGTAGGGAATGCAATTTATGTTCTTTTATTATCATTTGGAATTCGTACCCCTTAGTATGAGAGTATGGATTTTAAAATAAAAAACAAGAAGGTAATATCTAAATCCTATTACCTGTTCAGCATAGGATTCTGTGTCTAAAGAGGGCTTGCTACCTTCTTGAGTAGTTTGGCCTGGAAGTACAGTACATTATATTAGAATTAGTAAGGCTTTCTTCTGAGTAAACAATAAACAGTATGTCAGAGTGCATCTATGTCCAGGATTATTGCCTTTCTGGATGGATGGCTTTTAGGGCTGCTAATTTTCTCTGGATCAGGACCATAGGCATAGGACCTACATTTTAGGTGAAGGAGGAAGCTGAGTTGATTTCAGTAACTCTTTCATGGAAGTTGGCTTGGGATTGGGATATTAGAAAGATGCTTTGATCCAAAATGACCAAAAGGGGACATTTATAATATTAAGGAAGAACAAGGAAGAGACAGAGAGAAAGGAAGGAAGGAAATCCCCCCCACAAAAGTTGCAGCATGTTTTTCTTAAGCTTCCTTTGTGACCTTCTGCCCATTTCTTGAGGTTTACACATTGAAGAAACATGTTAGCTTTCTCTTTGGATTATGTTGTAGGAACAGAAATAATAAATGCACAAAGGAGAACATATTGTACACCTTTCCTGATAGAACGAGAGGGTTGTGATCAAACTTGAAACACCGTGTTTTAGTTATGGGGGGATAAATCCAACAGATAAATGGGAGAAGGTAAGGAAGCAAATGAGGAAAGAAAGAAGAAAATCAAATAGACAGTCAGCTTTACTTGATAAGAAGTCTAATAATGATGCAACACACATATCCCTTGATTACTTCTTTAAGAAGAATAGCAAGAAAATCAACGTGGGATACAAAGCTATGGGAAGGGGATCTTTTGAATGACATCATTAGTGAGGATCGGTGGAGACATGGCATGACCCACTAGAGCTATACACACATGCTGCAACTGTTGGGCCTCTTTCAGCCCAAGTTCAATGCAGCTGGTTTCAACAGAAGAGAGCTAAGAAAAAAGCATGCCTTGACTTTTGAAACCAGTGGTACTCAAAAGTGCAAATGGATGAAGATAACAGCTGTTGTCTTCATCCATACTCTAGTTTCTCTTCAGATCATATAATGGCGGTTGGCACAATTCTTGCAATAAAATCAGTGCACACCAACACATGGGGGGGGGGAATGGTAGTTCTCTGCTCCAGAGACCTTACAATCTAAACATGGACAATGGGAAGAGAATTGAGAGAATAAAATCGCAGTCTTAGCTTGCATTGTGACTGGAGATAAAGGGTGAGAGGTTAAGAACGACTTGACATTGTATGTATGCTATGGCAAGTACATTAGGTCAATGGGCTAGATTCCATGTTGGCCCCAACTAGAGCACTCCCATTGGCATGCATGGGGCATCCATTCCTTCCCATGGGTGTTTTCTGGCATCTATATCTAATTAGATTCAGCCCATTGTTTGCTGTCTTCATAACAGTTATTTCTTGCAAAGACTCTGCGCTCTTTGAAGAATCAAAGATTGGCTATTTTATGCAACAATAAATGGAAAGTCCTGCCCTGATTACTGTGTGAATTATGTAAGCGTTGTCCTATCTGTGACAGCAGTTACAATAGCTTTCTAGCAACCACTGTAATTATGGAATAGATAGCAATTATCAAAACAATTAGAAATGCTAGCATGAATGGCAATTACAGGGCGATAGTTTCAAACCATTCTTGCTGATAATAGTAACTATCCTGTTACTATTAATTACTATTAATGATTCATTTGGGGGTTTGATAAGGGACTTGGTACCCAGGAATATGAATGAAACTCCATCTGATAATAAATAAGTAATGCTCTGTTTTGCTGCGTTCCATGCTGTGAAATCTTATACCTAGTTCCCTATGAATAAGCCACACTGAACTCACTCAGTAAACATGTACAGGATTGCACTATAGGAAAATGAATAGACAATTCATTTGATACATCAAAACATAGAGTGATGACTGTAGATGTTTTTATACAGATGTAGACAAGTTCTGCTAACCCTTTCTGGACCAATAAGTGTGTTTAGAAAGGCAGTCTAAATGACCGACTCTGAAAGTACTCATCATGCAATGCAGTCAGAGGGTACTGTACTGTATTACCAGAAAGAATAATAGTCACTGCTTAATATCAGTAGCACTCCGCTAAGAAAGTGTGGTGTCATTGCGGAGTTAGCAAAGGCATCCTTCAGTCTCGAGAGATGTAGTGGACAGAATATTGGACAAAGACTCAGGTTCAAATCCCTGCATGGCCATGAAAACTCATGTGGGACATGGGAAAGGTAAATCATTCCTTGATCATCTCATATAACTCAGATGGTATATTATGACAGCAACAGGAAAGAGTACAGTCCACCAGGAAGTTTTTCTTAACAACAGAAATTGTACAGTATCAGAATAAAGGCCATCTCTTGTAACCATTCTATTTGTCAGGGACGAACCGGATGTCTTTGGGAAATCCTTTAGAAGGACTTGGTCACAGCCTCTTCCTCTTCTCCATAATCCCCAGCAACTGGTATTCACTGACATTTCCATGTCGGTGCCTCTGACCTGGGAGATAATAGAAAGCCCTCCTGATTAGTAGCTTTTGTGATTGGAAAATAATAAAAATGCAGTTTAAGATGATTTGGACATCAGAACTATTGATTTGGAAGCTGTCCTGCCCAGACCTCATAGTGACTAGGGAGAAGGTTCTTGGGGCACTGCTCCTATTCATCTCGTTGGGTTGTGCTTTTAGGTAACTGGCACTTTCCAAGCACATTGTTTTCGAGAAATTGCCTCCATGTCCATGGCACTCCCAGATCACAGGTGTATGTATCGTCTGATATCCAAGCCCTCCCCACTGTGTTCTTTGCTTGTAATAATAACCTTGCATCAATACATTTCATTTATTTCTCTCTTTTTTAAAAACCAAAGAACTTAAGATGATGATTGCGGTAATTCAAACCCAGATCTCCAAAGTCCTGATCTGACAGTATTGTCAGTCCAGCAAAGCTGGCCTCTGCTCTGAATGTTACATTGAAAAAAAAATTAATTGCATTTATTGTTGCTTCTCAGCAACCAAGTAGCTCTTATGCAGTTACTCTTCCTCTTATCCCATGAATGATTCTATGTCATTAACGTGTTCCATTGACCTTACCTGCAGGCGACAACACTAGAAATAAATGCTTTATGGTGCCCTCTAGTGGCTAATTCTGATACTGCACTTTGGTAACAAGTTTTCCAGGAAATTTGGTTGTTAATTGATAGGACCTTTGAAAGACTGTGAATTTATGGATATTCTTTCAAAAGCAGATCGATGACACATAGTAAAAATAGAAAACATAAAGAAACATAACCAAGGAATACTTCTCTTGCGAATCAGGATAGAACAGAATGACACAACATTGGAATAGTTCCTGTCAAAATTGTAAATGCTATAACACATTTACAGTCACTTAGAAAGTATATTTCTAAAGTATATTTTCATTTGCTCCAGGCAAGGCAAGAGAGGGGTTTAAATGAGAAGGTTCGTGGGACAGCCTTAGACCAAAAGTTTTGGTTCTACAGATTTCCAAGAGAATGCTGGCCATATGGTACTAGTTCTAGCAGCGTCATCTTGTCTATGTTTACTTTGAAAAAAAGTTCCACTTTGTCTAACATTCCTGACTACCACATACGCGTTTATATGGTTGTAAGCTTTAATTGAAGCTGGATTCTACTATTCTCCTCTTTGCAAGCTATCAACAGAATGACACAAGTATTTAGCATAGATCTATACAGGCAAGATGGCTGTCAATTATGTTTGTGGGCCTTGATGCTCACAGGTTTCTTAACAAAACAAATTTCTCAATTTTATGACTCAGTGTCAGTGGAGTGAGGTGAATATTACAGCCCCTACTAACAGGTTGGGTTGATTTCAGTGGGTCTGCTTTAGGACTCAGACTGGACTTACCATTCTTGAATCAGGGAGAGAATATTGGATATCTCCTTGGGTGCTTGCTTGTACAATCTTCGTATATAGTACCGGGTTTAGAATGGAACTAACAAGCAATGTTCTGGATTCATTAAAAACTCTCTTGATCTTGCATTGCTGCTGAACGAGTGAAAGTGATACGGCAATCCCTGGCTAAAATCCTGTTGGTTAGCATAGTAACTTGAACCAGAATAGCCCCATTTTATCAATGACGATTTGGTAAGTCAACTCCTCTGTAAATTTTTCCAGGAAATTTGGTTGTTAATTGATAGGACCTTTGAAAGACTGTGAATTTATGGATATTCTTTCAAAAGCAGATCGATGACACATAGTAAAAATAGAAAACATAAAGAAACATAACCAAGGAATACTTCTCTTGCGAATCAGGATAGAACAGAATGACACAACATTGGAATAGTTCCTGTCAAAATTGTAAATGCTATAACACATTTACAGTCACTTAGAAAGTATATTTCTAAAGTATATTTTCATTTGCTCCAGGCAAGGCAAGAGAGGGGTTTAAATGAGAAGGTTCGTGGGACAGCCTTAGACCAAAAGTTTTGGTTCTACAGATTTCCAAGAGAATGCTGGCCATATGGTACTAGTTCTAGCAGCGTCATCTTGTCTATGTTTACTTTGAAAAAAAGTTCCACTTTGTCTAACATTCCTGACTACCACATACGCGTTTATATGGTTGTAAGCTTTAATTGAAGCTGGATTCTACTATTCTCCTCTTTGCAAGCTATCAACAGAATGACACAAGTATTTAGCATAGATCTATACAGGCAAGATGGCTGTCAATTATGTTTGTGGGCCTTGATGCTCACAGGTTTCTTAACAAAACAAATTTCTCAATTTTATGACTCAGTGTCAGTGGAGTGAGGTGAATATTACAGCCCCTACTAACAGGTTGGGTTGATTTCAGTGGGTCTGCTTTAGGACTCAGACTGGACTTACCATTCTTGAATCAGGGAGAGAATATTGGATATCTCCTTGGGTGCTTGCTTGTACAATCTTCGTATATAGTACCGGGTTTAGAATGGAACTAACAAGCAATGTTCTGGATTCATTAAAAACTCTCTTGATCTTGCATTGCTGCTGAACGAGTGAAAGTGATACGGCAATCCCTGGCTAAAATCCTGTTGGTTAGCATAGTAACTTGAACCAGAATAGCCCCATTTTATCAATGACGATTTGGTAAGTCAACTCCTCTGTAAATTTCACTGATTCAAATGAGCCTTCTCTAGTCATGACTTACTGCACTAAGCCACTGGATTTCAGTCCATGTATAGATTTATTAGTTCATTTATTACATTTTTGACATAGCCTTTCTGGGGCCTGATGCAGCAACTTTGCTGAAGCTAAACCTGATAGGGACTGGCTAGTTCTTGGGGTGGAAAAGAACCTATTTATGGATGGATCTTCATGGCAAGTCTATGATGATCAGCCTGAAATTTCCAACACTGAGTGCTGGGGCGTTTTGAATTAAGAAGATGTCATGATTCCCTAGGACACAGCTGTGGAACTGGTGGGTCATCTAGATATTGTTGGAATACAATGATGATGATGATGTTCTGTCAAGTCAATCTTGACTTATGTGTCCCCCTTTCAGCACTTTCCAGGTAGCGAATAGTAGTGGTTTACCTTTCCCTTCTTCTGAGGGTGTCCTGGGACTGTGCAGCTTGCCCAAGGCCACACAGGCTGGTTCTATTTGTAGGAGGCACAGTGAGAAATCAGTTATGATTAATTCTTCCAAAGAGAACAATCAATGGACACGTGTGTGTGTGAGAGAGAGATCAGTTGGGATCAGTTACTTGGGATCGATGAATCAATGTCTGTGTATGCATGTGTAATCAATCCAGAACACTCAGTTGTGCCCAGGGGAGTATCTGCCCGGGTGCCATCAATTCGGATTAGATCTGAACAATTTAATCGCTCTATGAGAGATCGGGATCAATTCGGATTAATTCCGGACTGCTCAATGGTTGTGTATGTGATCGGTCAGAATTAATTACTCTATAGATCTCTCTCTGTGTGTGAAAGGCTGTTCAGTTCGCAGTGATTCTCCTTAGATTGCGGAATCCAGCGTCTTTTTGCTCCCCTCGGGTGGTTTGGGGGGGGGACGGGACGCACGCATCCACCGGGTCCCTTCCACTCGGCCTGACCCTTCTCCGCCTCTCGGCCCCTCCCCCCCCCCCCTTCTCCGCAGGTGTGGTTCCAGAACCGGCGCACCAAGTGGCGCAAGAAACACGCGGCCGAGATGGCCACGGCCAAGAAGAAGCAGGACTCGGAGACGGAGCGGCTGAAGGGCGCCTCGGAGAACGAGGAGGAGGACGACGACGACTACAACAAGCCGCTGGATCCCAACTCGGACGACGAGAAGATCACGCAGCTGCTCAAGAAGCACAAGACCGGCGGCGGGACCGGCGCCCTCCTGCTCCACACGGCGTCGGAGAACGAGGGCTCCTCTTAGGCGGCCACAGGGGGGCGCTCGCGTCCCCGGCGCTTGCGCTCTCCTCGGACACACGTGTACAGATCTATTTTTCTATCGACCGGGACGAGGACTGGCGAGGAGTTCCGAAGGCGGTGCTCTTCCTTGGCGGCTCCTCCGGCAGGCGGTGGCCCTCGGCGGACAGTTGTGCTCTCCCCCCCCCACCCCAGTCCGGAGACCTTTCCTTCCTAGGCAGCCCTGCAGGTTCCCACGAGGGGGACTGGGACCCCCTCCACCTAAAGGAGACGCCCCTCGCCTCAGAGTGCGGCTGCCCCCTGCCGGCCAGACTCCTAACTTTTCCTCTTCGAGCTGCTCTTTGTAAATGAGGATACGGGGGGCGGGGAAGCGAGTTACTCAGATGGAACCCGCGAACTTCTTTGGTCGTGTGAATATTTAACATGTATCATACTTTCGTTACGGCTTGTGTGTGCGCGCGCATGCGCGGGCGGAGGAAGTTTGCACCGGTTTTGCTTCCTCCCCTGCTTTTTTGCAAGGTGCTTTTTAACCTTCTTCTCGTTTGGTTTTAGTTAGTAGTGGGATTTGTGGAATATGAAAGCGGGGACAGACTTCTTGAAAACAGCTCGCAATTTCTCTCTAGTCGCCCAGTATCTTGTAGGGTGATGATAATCCATGCCAGCCAAAGGGACATTTAAAAAACATTGGCTTAAATGCAAGTGATGAAATCTTCTTCTGGCGATATAAGAATAGTCTTCTCGTTTGGTTTTAGTTAGTAGTGGGATTTGTGGAATATGAAAGCGGGGACAGACTTCTTGAAAACAGCTCGCAATTTCTCTCTAGTCGCCCAGTATCTTGTAGGGTGATGATAATCCATGCCAGCCAAAGGGACATTTAAAAAACATTGGCTTAAATGCAAGTGATGAAATCTTCTTCTGGCGATATAAGAATAGGTACATTTTAGTGTTAGGCAGGAGACTTTCTCCGGCAGAACCAGTGTTCTGTGTAACCGCTGGTATTTGCCCAGTCTATAAGGAGAATGTTGTGAGTCTAACGCTCCACGTGTTCACTTGGGAGTAAGTTCGTTGGTTGTTACCGAGACTTACTTCTGAGTAAGCATAGGAATCCCAGGTTGTAGTCTTAAAAATCTCCCTTTATTTCCTCTTGCCATTATGGGAGTCCTAGAAAATAAACTAATTAACTTTTTTTTTTTGCTGTTCAACAAGCAAAACATTGTGAGTTTCTCACACCACTGAGGCTATTTTAATTATTAATGTGAGATTTAATTTAATTTTTAAATTGGAGTAAGCCCTGGAGAGGAGATTTCAAAGAAAAGAGGAAGAGTGACCCTCCCGTTCCCAACAAATTAAATGGTTAAATTTGTCCTTGATATTTGCTCTAACTTATTTCTGCTCAAAACAAAATTTCCTGGTTTGTTTAGTTGCTGTATTTGAATATGAAAATGTGGAGTGTTGGACTTTTGTTTTTTGTGTATGATAATGACTACGGACATTTCTTTCCTTTTTTTAAAAAAAGAAAGCTATTAATAACGTTGTATCACCATCTTAACCTTTTATTAATTTATACGAAGACGTTTTCGGTTTGTACAGAAAACCACGACCACACGCTTTGTAAAACCAGTTCAACGCAATGCACTTTGTTTTATTTTGGTCTAAAAAGATAAATCAATTAAAATCAGTTATAAGACGTCTTTTGCCTGGAAGAAAGGAGGGAGGGGAAGGGGAGGTTCAGAGGCTGTGATCTTACCCGAGGTTAAATAATAAAATTCGTGGTGCAGAATAGATGAATTTTTCTAAAAATTACTTTTCTCACACTCTGTAGCAGGGATTTTTCAAATAGGAAGTTTAACATTCCTTAACGAGGGAATTGGAAAATGAAAGTGGAAAGAAAAAAAGCGCTGGTTCCTTGCTGTCTCCACACCTTTCCCCTTAGGAAGCGGCGGGGAATTGAAGATTTCCTACCGGTTTTCCCCTAGTTATTCTCCTTTTGAGGTCATTTCAGGTGAATCCCTCGCCGGACCTTATTCAGATCGGGGAGGAAGGAGAATAGAAAGACGAAAGAGGCCAGAGAGATGTTTTCTAGGGGGAGAAGGACGGTCAGAAAGACCCGGTGGAAAAGAAGGAGAAAGAAAGGAATGTAAAAATGGAGAAAAGAGGAGAGGGCAGGGAAACGAGAAAGAAGAACAAAACAATAAAAGGAATGTATAGCTATAAAAGGAATGTGAAGAAGGATGGTAAACGGTATGAAAGGCGCAAAAGAAAAGCGCAAGGAAGAAATCCTAATAGAATGAAAAAGCAAAAAAGGAGCAGGGGAAGGCTAGGAAAAGAAAGAAGTTGGGGTGGAGAGCAAGAAACAGAAATGGGAAAGAAGTGAAAAAGAGCAAGAAGACATGTTTTCCACTGAGCCATTTAATCCCGGCCGCCTGGTTTTGTCTGATCGGGGTCAACAGAGCCTTTCTCCTCCACCACCGAAACGTCGCCCCATCAAGAACCAGCGAAGGGGATGTTCGGATTTAGGCAATCGCCCGCGGGGGGGGGGAGGTTACGAGGACGAGACATTGTGACCGGAAAAGTGGCGCCGCTCAACCAAAGCCCGGCAAAGGCACGGGGAGGGAATTTTTATTTATTTATTCCTTCATTCCTTCCTTCCTTCCTTCGATTTATACCCCGCCCGCCCCCTAGACAGCGTCTACTGGGGCGGCTTACAAAATCATAAAATCATTAAATAACAATAAAAACATCACAATCAAAAATAAACAACATTCATAATCATAAAAAAAAAAACATTTGAACAATCGCGCTGATGGCAACGATTGCCATCGCCCCCGCCAGACAACGGCTTTAGTTTGAATATAATTAAAATAACGAAACAGAAGGTTTCATAGCTGGTCTTAACATGGCTCGAACCAACCACAGCAAGGACGAAAAGCAGCGGCGGCGAGGGGGGGCGCGCGTTTCAGGGCAGAAATGAACCTCCCTCCCTCTCTTTATTTCTCTCTTTTTTAACGGAATATTCCTCACAAGCTGTGATTCCGGCCGGTAACTGGGAAGGTTTTGGAAAAGGGTGAGAGACAAATCCGCGGTGGAGAGGTCTATCGGTCAGGAGCGAGAAATAAACCCTCCATGTATAGTAGCAGTCTAACTTTTCAAAGTCAAATCCAAGAGCAAACAATGTGGGAAGGAGGGTGCCCGCATGACCCTCTCCGAGGCCTCTGGATAACCACGGTGGGAACCAAAATGCAGGAAGAAGTGGATTTCTTCCTAGAAGGTGGAAACGCTACTTTTTTGGATTAGAATTCCCAGTTATCCTCCAGCCATATTTATTGGGGTTTCCTTCGGATAGTAGCTCCAGAGAGTGTGTTGGAAGTCATTTAACAGGGGTGAGACAGCCCGATCCTCAAGTTTACTCAGAAGGAAGTTGCTCTGAATCCTAGCCACGGGGAATGGTGGATTCTGGGACCTGTAGTCCAAGAAAATACATTTTCCAAGCTTTGCTTCTGACTGCTCACAGGTAACAACCTTCTGGGGAAGGTGAGCAGCTGATATGAGAAGTTCAGTTTTGGGGTTACAACTTCCATTTGGGCTAGGGGATTCTGGGAGATAAAATCAGGAAAGCAAGTTTTCCAGACTCCGCAAGTGGACTGAAGATGTCAATATACACAGGAAGAACAAGACCCATCCCTTGTGATCAAGGAGAGTGGGACGGACACGGGGGGACGTGATGATGTGTTAACTAAGGGGGTGGGTAGCCCGGCAAAATCACCTCAAGAAAAGTGTGTTGGAGGCGTGTGTGGGTGAGTGACTGAGTGAATGAACATTTCGTAAATTTTGCTTAATTACATCCCCTGCACCATCATCCTTCAGCACCTCTTAACTTCTCACAAGGCAGCTGAAGTCGATTTAAAAAAACATGAAAAAATTAAAATTAAAGATGAGAACATCAGTATCAAAGTTTGACAGGCTTTTGATGTCAAATACACTGTCCTCCTTTCCTTTGATATAATTAATGCTGTTATAATCATGTTTACTCAGAATATATATATTTATTTACTAGGGAGTTAGGTTATTTACTAGGAATTAAATATCTATGGGAGGGCCACTGTGGCTTACTAGATAGTGTGTTAGGCTAGAACTTAAAAGTGCTGGGTTCGAATTCCCACTAGTCCATGAAAATTCAGTGGGGAGGTGGTGCTTGGACATCTCACATACTTTGAAAACCCTATTAGGGTCACCAAAGAACTGTCTGGAAGGTAGCAAAGCACTCAACATTACCATGAAACAGTGGCTTTACCTTTTTTTCTTATCTCATTGCCACATCTGTTGACGGGCAAGCCCAATAACTGATGTCAAAACGGGCTGATTAGTCGTCCCTTCAGATAACTTTTGCCCCCAAACCTGTTTCTCTTCTAGCCAGACTGTTTAGTGGTCAGGGATTATGGGAGTAGCAGCTGAAAAGTATCTGGAGGGCCACAGTTCTTACCTCTGCTGCATGTAGTTCAAGAGCATCATTTTCAGGAAATGTGAATATTTTTGTATCTTTGCTTGATCTTATATTGTGTCCCTTCATGAGACAATCAAGGTACTGTTCCAGCTCCTTTTCTCCAGTGACTTCACCTCTTCAAGGTGAGAGGAGAAGTCTCTTTCCTCTTTATCCTTCTTCGCGAAGATAGCTGATGCACAGTTAAGTGGAGAGCTGGATTTCTACATTTGATTAGTGCAGGGCACATCGTGGTTTTTTGGGGGAAAATCCCACCCAGGCTCCCTTTTCTTAAAAATAAATAAATAAGAAAGCTACTGTTTACTAGAGAACTGCACTGTGATAGGAAAGGTAACAGGTCTCCTTCAACCCTCAGTGCTCACTGGAAGGAGAGAATTTACTAGAGAACTGCACGGTGATAGGAAAGGTATCAGGACTCCTTCAACCCTGAGTGCTCACTGGAAGGACAGATCCTGAAGCTGAGGCTCCAGTACTTTGGCCATCTCATGAGAAGAGAAGACTCCTTGGAAAAGATTTTGATGTTGGGAAAGTGTGAAGGCAGGAGGAGAAGGGGACGACACCAGTACTTTGGCCATCTGATGAGAAGAAAAGACATTCCGGAAAAGACCCTGATGTTGGGAAAGTGTGAAGGCAGGAGGAGAAGGGGACGACAGAGGATGAGATGGCTGGACAGTGTCATCAAAGCAACCAACATGAATTTGACCCAACTCTGGGAGGCA